GGACCTGGTGGGGGAGGGGCGGCCGGGGCTGGCGGCCGCTATCGCCAACAAAATAAAAGGTCTCTGAGCACCCTGGCATCGCGGCTCTCTGCCATCCCCAGCTTTGCGGGCCGCGAAGATCCGCTTTGACCAGAACCGGCCCCCCATATAGGGATTTTAGTGTGGAAGGCCAGCCCGCGCCCCAAGGTTGCAACTGGGACAATCCTCACCAGGCGCCCCCGAATCATGAAAAAATCACAGCGAACGTTTTGTTGTTGGTGTTGATGCTGAATATTCATTTCTAATAATTATTGCTGATCTCCGGAAACAGTTCTGCGCGCTCTCGCCTCGACGGCGGCTACATTTTCTCAGAAAACGAGGCTCCCGCTCGAGCGTTGGCTTGAGCCTAAATGTGGGCCCTTGGAGGCCCAGCTACGACGACAACGGCTCCCATTCGATACTTCCTCACAATTTACCCCGAGACACCCTGGCCAAAGAGGCCCCCGAACTCGGGAACGGCGCTCTCGCTCGAGACTTCCTCGCAATTCAAGTAAGTTGGCGGAGGCCCAGCCGCAACGACAAGGGCTCCTGCTCGATATTTCCCCACGATTTACTCCGAGAGCCCCTGGTCAAGAAGGCCCCCGAACTCAGGAACGGCGCTCTCGCTCAAGACTCCCCCGCAATGCAGCCAATTTGGTGGAAACCCAGACACGGCGACAAGGGTTCCCGTTCGATGTTTCTCCATAGGTATTCCGAGAGCCCTGGGCCAGAGAGGCCCCCGAACTCAGGAACGGCGCTCTCGCTCAAGATTTGTTCGGAATTCGATCAAGTTGGCGGAGACCCAGACACGGCGACAAGGGCTCCCGTTTGATATTTCTCCATCGGTATTCCGAAAACCCCTGGCTAAAAAAGCCCCAAAACTCAGGGACTGCGCTCTCGTTTGAGACCTCCTCGCGCTTCAGTCAGTGGCCGACAAGGAAGATATTCCCCCCGAGAGTGGGTGCAATCGAAGACGACATGGGCGGGTATCGAGGGTTGGGGTATACAGAATTCAAGACACGCGTGCCAGTAAGGGCGGACAACCTTAAAATGATTGCTGTTGTTGTTAACGTTGTTAATGTTGTTTTGTCATTGTTGTTGATGTTGTTGTTACTGTTGTTGTTGATGTTGCTGTTGTTGTTGAAGAAGTTGTGGTTCAGACTGTTGTAAAGGTTGCTCTTGTTGTTGTTGCCGCCGGTTTCGGTCTCTGGGGGGGAACTTTGCAGGCCCCCCAGGATTGTCAAAAATCGGCTTGGGATGAAAAAGCGGTCCCAGGGCAGGGTTCGAGGCCTCCTGGGGTCCACGCTGCGAAGAAATCGCGACGCTTGCGGTTTGGACCTTCCTCCTCATGCATGTTGGAGGTGGGATGGTCGTATGCTGTCCACACCGCTTCTGGCATGCCAGCGGGCGGCTGCCCGCTGGTGCATGCGGTGAAGAAAACACTGCCGTCGTCAGCATTCGAGGGTCCCGTGATCTTGAAAGCTTTGTTCACCATCGCTTCCCGATCCCAGAGAAGCCTATCCGGAGATCCCGAGCGGAAGCCGCCGTGGCCGATCGGAGCGACCAGGAGACCAGCGCGGCAGTTCGCAGAACCCCTCCTGGACTCTTCCTGAGAAAAGTTGTTGGAAGGTTTTTGGAAAACTTTCCCGAGCTCCCGGGGGGGGGAGCGAGGAAGGTGTTTGAAAAATTGTTCCAAAAACCTTCCAAAAACCTCCCGAAAATCTTCCAATAACCTTCCGGAAAACCTTCCAACATGTATCGCGATCGCCCAATGGTTCCAATAACCTTCCAAAAGCCTTCCCACAACCTTCCAACAAACCTTCCTAAAACCTTCCAAAAACCTTCCAATACCTTCCCGAGGACTTTCCAAAAAACTTCCAATAACCTTCCAAGAACCTTCAAAACAAAAACAAAAACATCCTGAGGAAGGTTTTTGGAAGTAGGAAGGTTCTTCCAAAAAACTATCCCGAGGAAGGTTGTTGGAAGGTTTTAGGACGGTTCTTCCAAAGGAAAACATCCTGGGAAGGTTTTGGAAGGTTTTAGGAAGGTTCTTCCAAAAAGTCATCCTGAGGAAAATTGTTGGAAGGTTGCAAACATGTTCATCCAAGAAACCCTCCTGAGGAAGGGTTTTAAAAGGTTTTCTGAAGGTTCTCACAAAAAAATCCTCAAAAGGTTGTTCGAAGGCTTTTTGGGGAAAAACTGTTTTACATTAGAGAAGAAAAGAAAGAAATCACAACAACAACAACAACAACAACAACAACAAAACTCCTGAGGATTGTCGGGGAAAATTCGAAGAATGTTCTTCAAAAAAAACCTCCCGAGGAAGGTTGTCGGAAAGTGTTAGGAAGGCTCTCAAAAAAAACATCATGAGGAAGGTTGCTTGAAGGTTGTAGGAAGGTTCTTCCCACAAAAGCCCTGAAGAAGCTTCTTGGAAGGTTCTTCCGAAGGTTCTTCCCAAAAACTCTCCCGAGGAAGGTTTCCGGAAGATGTTAGGAAGGTTCTTCAAAAAAACACCTCCTTAGAAAGGTTGTTGGAAAGTTCTAGGAATGCTCTTCCAAAAACCCTCCTGAGGAAGGGTTCAGGGAAGGTTTCAGGAAGGTCCTTCCAAAAAAGAACATCCTGATGGTTTTCGGAATGTTCTAGGAAGGTTCCTCAAAACCTATCCTGAGGAAGGTGTTTGGAAGGTTTGGTAGTCAGTTCTCCCGACAACAACAACAACAACAACAACAACAAAATCCGGCGGAAGGTGTTTTGTGAAGGTTTTTGAACGGTTGTTGACAGGTCCTTCTTCTTCAAACAAAGAAATGAGGAAGGTGTTTGGAAGGTTTTAGGGAGGTTCTTCAAAAAAATCCGGAAGAAGGTGTTTTGAAGGCTTTAGGAAGGTTCTTCCACAAAACCCTCCTGATGAAGGTTTTTTTAAAAGGTGAGTCCAAGAAAAACCCTCCTGAGAAAGGCTGTCTGAACGTTTTAGGGAGGTTCTTCAAAAAACCTTCCCGAGGAAGGTTTTTGGAATGCTCCAGGAAGGCTCTTCCAAAAAACCCTCCGAAGGTTCCAGGAAGGCTCTTCAAAAAAAACCATCCTGAGCGAGGTTGTTGAAGGCTTTAGGAAGGCTCTTCAAACAAAATCATCCTAAGGATGGCTCTTGGGAAGTATTATGAATGCTCTTCTTTATAAAAAAAAAGAAAGGGGGAAAAATAAAAAAGGCTTGTTTTACGAAGGGTCTTCCTACAAAACCCTCCAGAAGAATGTGTTTGGAAGATTTGCGAAGGTTATTCCAGAAAGCCCTCCTGAGGAAAGCTGTTTGGAAGCTTTTCGGAAGACTCTTCCAAAAACACCCTCCCGAGGACGGTTTCTGTAAGACTTTAGGAAGGCTCGTCCGAACAAGAAGAAAAAAATCTTGAGGAAGGTGTTTGGAAGGTTGTATATCTAAACGCGAAAAAATCCTACAAAACCCTCCTGAGGATGGTTGTTTTGAAGGTTTGGGGACAGATGAATGCGCCACGAGTGTTCGTTAATTCCTTCCGAGGCCTGGAAGAAGATTGCTGGCAGGTTTTAAAAGGTGCTTAAAAAAAAACTCCTGAATCGGAAGGTTGTTGGGAGGTTCTTCAAACAAAAGAACAATCAACAAATCCCGAGGAAGCTTTTTGGAAGGTAAAAACCTCCTGAGGAAGGTCACTGGAAGGTTTTAGGAAGGTTCGTCAAAGAAAACCTCCTGAGCGAAGTTGCTGGAAGGTTTTAAGAAGGCTCTTCCAAAAAAACATCCACATGATGGCTTTTGGAAAGTATTCGGAAGGCTCTTCCGACAAAAAAAAACTCCTAAGGATGGTTGCTGGGAGGTTTTTTATAAAGGCTCTTCCTACGAAACCTCCAGAATAATGTTGTTGGAAGGTTTTCGAAAGGTTATTCCAGAAAACCCTCCTGAGGACAGTTTTTTCGGAAGGTTTTAGGAAGACTCTTCCAAACATACCCTCCCGAGGACGGTTTCTGGAAAGTTTTAGGAAGGCTCTTCCGAAAAAAACATCCCGAGGAAGGTTTTCGGAAGGTTGTTTAAAAAGATTCCTCCCAAAAAACCCACCTGAGGAAGTTTGAAGGTTTTAACGCAGATGAATGCGGCATGGGTGTTCGCTAACTTCTTCCGAGGCCTGGAAGAAGGATTTTGGCAGGTTATAGAAAGGTTCTTCAACAAAAAATCCGATGAATGCTTTCGGAAGGTTTTTGGGAGGTTCTTCAAAGAAAACCATCCTGAGGAAGGTTTTCGGAAGGTTTTTAGGTTAACGCTCCTCCAATAAAACCCTCCTGAAGAAGGTTCTCGCAAGTTTTCAGGAAGGTTCTCCCGGAAAAACCTCCCGAGGACGGTTTTTTAGAAAGGTTCTTCCAACAAAAAGCCAAAACCTATAGGCCTAGGCTGGCGCCGCGGCTGGAACCGAGGCCGGGGCAGGGGCCAGAGCCGGTGCCGTGAGCCAGGGGGCCGGGGTTGGGGCCAGGTCCAGGGCCGGGGCGGCTGGGGAGCTCGGCTTGGGGTCGGGACCGGGCCGGGGGCTGGGGCGGGAGCCATGGCCGGGGCCGGGGCCAGGGCCGGGGCCGGGGCCAGGGCCGGGGCCAGGGCCAGGGTTGGGACCTGGGCCGCGGCCGGGGCCGGGCGGCGAGGCTAGCGCCGGGGCCGGGGCCGGAGCCGGGGCCGGGCCGGAATCGGTGCCGGGGCCGAAGCCCAGGCCGGGGCCAAGACCGGAGCCGTTGCGGAAGCACGGCGAACGGGCGGCGGGGGGCGGGCAGGCGGGCAGACGGTGGGCGGCGGGCGGGCGGGCGGCGGGCGGGCGGCGGGCGGGCGGCGGGCGGCGGGCGGCGTTCGCCAATCCAAGAAATGCTCGAAGGGCGGAAGATTCCTCTAAGCCTCAGTAAGCTTAGGAACACCCGTGCTCGACCTCCTGTCGCGCCCAAGGAGGACGGCGTGGAGGAGCAGACGCTGCCCCCCGCGAGGGCGC